AGTTTTTTGTTTTTTTTTTTTGTCGGTTGCAGGGCTTGAACTTTGGGCCTGGGCGCTGTCCCTGTGCTTTTCAGCTCAAAGTGAGTGTTCTACCACTTGAGCAACAGCGCCACTTCTGGTTTTCTGAGTAAACACTCAGATAAGAGTCTCACGGCCTTTCCTGCCTGGGCTGGCTTTGAACTGCAATACTCAGATCTCAGCCTCCTGAGTAGCTAGGATTATAGGCATGAGCCACCGGCACCCAGCCTCTAGTTTAAGGCTATGACTTATCACTGGATACCAATGTGGTTCCGGTGCCTACATTCATTGAATCGAGAACAAACTTAAGTATGAAGTTTAAAGAATAAGAAAATATGTGGATATATTTGATCAGTTTGTGCAACATCAGGAAAAAGCAACTATAAAAAGAATTATAAAAGGTTTTACAGACTTATATAGTAAAATGCAAAAGGAAAGGTGAGGGAAGAGAAGTCCTTTTCAATATGTCCTGTTATTGCAATTCTTTTGATATGAAAAAAAAATTCACACTGAAGGATAAAAATGTAAGAACACTGTTACTTATGTTAAGAACTATCTTTCCAGTAGAAACTGGATGAAAATTTGCAACTAGAAAAATTGAATGAATATAATTAAAACTGTCAACTTTATTAAAAATAGCAATATTTCAATCCACTTAAATAAGATTCATATACTTTTAATCTTAAGATATTATAAAATTCCTGGAAATAATGTTCTTTTGGAATATTAAAGCATATGAAAAGAGCCATTAATATATGCAAAAAGAATTAGTTTAATAAAACTCTAAATTTCTTTGATCAAAGCCAAAACAAAATCTTACTATAGCATTCTTAGATTATAAATTTCAAGAATCTTTTACAGCATTTAGGGATTGAAGTCTAGTTCAATGGGAGTACTTTCCTAACACATGCAAGGTACTGGGGCTTGATCCTTAGCAGCACACAGAAAAATAAATAAACAGAACTCTTTCATGACATTTATATGGATATTATTCACAAGGACTATAGAAAAGTAGATTACATCAACTTTTATTTGATTTTATTCAATTTTACTAGATAATTCCAGGAGTGCCAAAAGCAAAGATTACAAGTAACTAAAACATTTGATTCAATGTTCAGGAGTAAAACTTTTATAACAGTATAAATACGAAAGCCAAACAATTTATATGAATGATCAGATAAAATCAATGGAGTTTTAGCTAACACTAGCTACATTTCTTTTCATTTACTCATTATGGAAAAAAGTTATGATTTTAAGGTAACATGTGACCTAAGTTTCTCATAGATTTATTTTACATGTTTGTGTATAAAAATATAATATGCTGCCAGGCACCAGTGACTAATGCCTGTAATCCTAGCAACTCAGGAGGCTGAGATCTGAGGATCATAAGGTTCAAAGCCAGCCTGGGCAGGGCAGGAAAGTCCGTGAGACTCTTATCCCCAATAAACCACTCAGAAAACCAGAAGTGGCGCTGTGGCTCAAGTGGTAGAGTGCTTGCCTTGAGCTGAAGAGCTGAGGTATAGCGCTCAGGCCTAGAATTCAAGCTCCATGACTGACAAAAAAAAAAAAAAAATCTATCTATCTATCTATCTAGATAGATAGTTTCTATCTCTCTCTCTCTCTCTCTCTCTCTCTCTCTCTATATATATATATATCATGTTTACCTTCATAAATATCTTAATTATTACTAAAATGAAAAACAGATTACCAGAAGTTGGAGATTTGCAGCGATCCTCTGGGACAATAGTCCCTTCATTAATATCGCAAAGACCTGCTAAAAAAATAAGAACAAAGATCAAATCACACTACACATATTTATATAAGTGAAGGAGGTATCCACTAACATTTTACTATTGTCCACATAAAAAAACCCAGGCAGATGAATGGACTATTGGTACTGATGCTCTGATACTAAAATATCTCAAGCTAACCAAATAATAATAAGTTAAACAAATTAAAACATGGTTTAGAAACAGGATTTCCAAGTGAGAAAATGTGTTATTCTCAAAGGACATTAAACATAATGCAAGACTTGTTAAAGACTTGGAGAATTCTTGAATTTTCAAGGAAGAGTAAGTGCTTGCTACAAAGCTTGATAATTTTCTCATCACAAGGGTCCTTAATCCAAACCTCAAAGTGATTTTCTCTAAATATATCTTAAACAACACTGGTTTTGTTTTATTAATTATAGTGACTTTACATAGAAATATGAAATATGTATTACTTGTAATTGAGTACATGGTAGATATTCAATAAATATTGGTTGAAAAAAATGAAGATATGTGAAAACATTTCAAGTACATATCTAATCCATCTACTCTTACTGCCAGAATCATTTCAATAAATGTTTCTAGCAGTAGAGCTATTCAGGTGCTTTCCAAATTCTTTAGTAGCTTAATCCACAGCAGCAAATTAGGAAGACAGTATTAGCTTCATCTGACAGAAGAAACTGAAGAAGACTAAAAATTAAATTACATCTGGAAACCACTGGTGGAAAGTACACAGTATACGAAGTTTTACTTAAAAAAATAACCTGCGTTAAAAATGAAGAGGAATCTCTACTTCAACAGAAACATAATTTTAAATGTATCATACCTATCACACTACTGTTTTCAGCAGTTTGTCACATTTAATACAAATTTAGTTGTAGTCAAAAGTAAGAAAACTACTACCCAAGTACCAACACTGCTCCAGTCATACTGCTAGGCAGCCTCATGTGATGCCTCATTTGGTGGTCACACTAACTTGATGAAGAAGAGATCATGTCCACTTCACAAATGGGGAGGCAAAGCCCCAGAATATCTCCCTAGGATCAGAGATTTAAGACCAGCATAGAAACTATAGTTTCAAATCTATAAATAACTTTTTGAATCTATTTTAGCTATAGAATGCAGTAATTACCATTTAAATAGGGCTGATTTTGATAAGCTTACCATCTCTTTTAGCTAAGAATCTGAATTTATGTTTTAAAATACTCAACATACAGAGCTATGTGTTATTCAATACAAAATATCCATTAACAAATTAAAATGGCATGCTTCAATAAAACTGTATTTACAAACCCAGGCTGTGAGCCAGATTTGGTCCACAGATAGTACAGTATTTTGCTAACTCAAGG